CCCAGAACCTCACATATATGTTGGGCAAGAGTTTGGTTACTGAGCTCCATTCTCAGCCCTTAATATAAACTTAAAAATTTTTAATTCAGTATGGTAATGATTAAATGCTGCAGTATTTCAGTGTCTATGTATTTTTTACATCCATTTCTTTTAAAAAAACATATTTTAAAGGCTCTACTTGATGGTAGCTCCCTTGTCTAGTATGTGTGAGGTCCCGAGTTCCATCTCCACTGCTGCAGCAACAACAAAAAAGTTTTGAGATCATTTTAAAGTTACAAAAATAGTACAGACAGTTCCCATGTATTCTTTGTTCAGCCTTCTCAGTGATAAATCTTTATACAACCATTTTAAATTTATCAAAACTAAGAAATTTCATTTAGTATTATCAACTAACCAACAACCTTTGGAATAAAGTACAGAATGGGAAACTTACAAACACATATTAATTGCCATATCTACTCTATTTCTCTGGGTATTCCAAACCATACTTTCATTTTGTATTATTATTAAATAATCAGAAATGAGGTTGAACTGTGACTTTTTTTTCCTAACTCTGTGATTTACTCACATAAAAGTGCTAAGTGTTACGATTTTGTTATGTTGGGCTGAGGTTGTGACTCAGTAGTAAAGCACTTGCTTAGCATGTGTGAGGCACTGCGTTTGGTTCTCAGCACTACATAAAAAAATAAATAAAGGTATTGTGTCCATCTACAACTTAAAAAAGGAAAAAAAAAAACCACAAACTTTTTTTTAAAACAAAGACAGTGTTTGGGGGAAAAAAATAAGATTTTGTTACATTGTCAGTAATAATGTCCAGAAGCAGTGGTATGCACCAGCAATTGGTAGACTGAAGTGGGAAAATCACATGAGTCCTGGAGTTAAAGACAAGATCCTGTCTCCCACCCTCACCCCCCCCCCCAAAAAAAAAATAAAACAAAAATTAGTATTAATGGTGTTCATTTTATGTATATTTGTGTTGTCAATTATAGATTTCAATTTTACATGATTTTACTCAGTTGTATTTAAGAAGGGACCTGAACACAGGAACATGAATACTTTATTATTTAATCAGAAATGTGTCAGCCAAGTAGTATTTCATTTTGGTTTTGATTTGCATTTCTCTAATGACTAATGATGTTGAACATCCTTTCATTCACGTATTGGCTAGTTGTGTATTTTCTTTGGAGAAATGTCTGTTGTTTGCTCCCTACTTCCCTTTCCCTCCCTCTTCCCCTTTTCTCCCCTTTGCCTCTCTCTGCTACCCTTCCCTTACTTTCCTTTCCTTTCTGACAGTCTAGATATTGAAATCATATATATGATTTGCAGATATTTTCTCCCATCCAATAGATTGCCTACTCACTTTCTTGTTAAATGTCCTTTTTTGTTGCTTATGATTTTGTTGTCATCTGAAAATCTACCAAGTCTGAGGTCATGAAGATTTATCCCTATGTTTTCTTTTAGGAATTTATGATTTTAGCATTTAGATCTTTGATCCATTGTTGATTTATTTTTGTATATGATTTCAGGTAACAGTTCAATTTCGTTCTTTTGTTTAAGGAAATCCATTTATTATTTGTTGAGAGACCAGGGACCATTCTTGTCCCATTGAATAGTCTTTGTTTCTTCTGTTGACAAGCTACGAGTGGTAGAGCTTACCTGCAATCCTAGCAATTCGGGAACCTGAGGCAAGGAGGATCACAAGGTTGAGATCAGCCTCAGCCACTTGGCTAAACCTTGTTTCAAAATAAAAATCAAAAGGGTTGGGGGACTGGGGTTGTGGCTCAGTGGTAGAGCACTAGCCTAGCATGTGTAAAACAGTGGGTTCAATTCTCAGCACCACATATAAATAAAATAAAAATAAAGAGTCTGTTAACAACTAAAAAAAGAAGTGGGGGTTTGGGGATGTGGATCAGTGGTTAATCACTCTTGGGTTCAATCCCTGGCACCCCCCACCCCACCCAAACGTCTATTGACTATAGACATATGGGATTATTTCTGGACTCTTAAATTCTTTTCAGTTGATCTATATATCTGTCATTATGGTAGTATTAAACTGCTTTGTAGTACATTCTGAAACAAGGAAGTATGAGTCTTAAAATTTTGTTCTTTTTCAAAACTATTTTGACTTTGGTTCAGTTAAATTTCTATATAAATTTTAGGATGAGCTTGTCAGTGTTTGCAAAAATGGAAGGTAGTATTTTGATAGGGTTTGTGTTGAATTTGTAGTTTAAATTGTAGAATATTACCGTCTTAACAATGTCTTTACATTTATTTGGGTCTTTTCAAGTTTCTTTGAGCATTGTTTTATTTTTTTCAATGTACAGGTTTTTCATGTCTTCGATTAGATTTATTCTTTTAAATGCCTATAATGAATGGATTTAAAAAATTTTTTTAGTTGTAGATGGACATAACTTTATTTATTTATTTATTTTTATGTGATGCTGAGGATCGAACCCATTGCCTTACGTGTGCTAGGCAAGTGCTCTACCACTGACCCACAACCCTAGCCCTTATGAATGGATTTTTAAGAAACTGTTCTTTTTAAGGGTTATTTGCTGATATATGGTAATAACACTGATTTGAAGACTAGGCACATGGTATGCACCTATAATCGCAGCTACTCATGAGGCTAAGGCAAGAGGGCTCAAACTTAGGGAGACCCTGTCTCAAAAATGAAAGATTAAAAGGATTGTGGATGTAGCCCTTGGGTTCAATCCCCAGTACTGTTAGAAAAGAGAAGAAAAGAAAAGAAAAAGCTGAGGATTTACTGTGTGTCTTAAAACTTCCTAAATTTCTTATCTCTAGTAGCTTTCTTATTGATTCTTTGGAATTTTCTATGTGTAGGATCATGTCATCTGTGAATACAAATGATTTTGCTTCTTCATTTCAATTCATGTTCCTTTTATTATTTATTGTCTAATTGTACTGAGTAGAAACAATATTAGGCTGGGCTTGGTGGCATGTACCTGTAATCCCAATGACTTCAGAGACTGAGGCAGGATCACAATTTGAAGTCAGCCTTCGCAACTTAGTGAGATATTGTCATAAAATAAAAGAGGGCCTGGTGGTAATGCTTAGTGGTAGAATACCCTCTTGGTTAAATCCCCTGTACCATGAATGAATGAAAGAAAAAGTAAAAACTGTTAGATAGCAGTAGTGCAAGTGAGCGTCCTTTTCTTGTTCTGCTCTTAAGAAGAAAACTTTTATTGTTTACATTGAGATAGGAATGTAGCTCTTTTTTTTAAATTTTTACAAATGCCCCTTTTCATGTTATGATAGTTTCTTTCTGTTCATCGTTGAAATTTGTCAGATGCATTGTTTGTATTAATTAAAACACTCCCCTGTTTTGGGAAGGGATATTGGAGAACAAACTCAGGGTGACTTTCTTGCATGCTAGGCAAGTGCTGTACTACTGAACTATATCCCTATCACTTTTTATTTTCTTTTGAGTCAGGGTCTCTGTAAGTTACCTTAAACTTTCCATGCCTCATCCTCTCTGGCAGCTGGGATTACAGGCATGTGCCAACCCCTGGCTAAGATGCCCACTTTAAAATATGCAGATCTGTTTATGTTATTCCATTACCCAGAATTTTTAGTTACATACATTTAAAATTCCAAGCAATATATTATTCTGACCTGATTTTTTTGTGCTGGTTTTACTGTTTGGTTGTTTTTTGACTTCTGTACTCTTTTCTTCGGCAAAACTAGAATGTTCACTGTTAAAGTAAGTAAAATAATGAATCTCCCCAAATGCTGACATCTGAATCCTTCAAATCTGTAAATATATTACATCTCAAGGGGTAATTAATATAGATAACCAGCTGACTTTAGGAAAATTATTTGGGATTATCTGGGATGTCTGATGTAATCAGAAGAGTCTTTAGTAGAAGGAAGAGACAGAAAATGAGTTAGAGGAAATGTGATTCTGGAAGAAAGACCAAGAAAAATAAAACAATGCTTTGAAGATAAAAGGATGCTAAGGGAAAAAGGTAGTTTCTCTCTTTTTTAAAAATATGGTATGTTTTGCTTTATAAATTGGCCTGTCAATGTAAGATAATGAATTTGTTGTTGTCAATGTAAGATAAGATAATGAATTTATTGCAATAAAAAACAAATACAAGTACCAAAGCATTATTTTACCATTTATTGTGTTGGTTTATTTCTCGAAACTCATGTCTAAATTTCCCTTAAGTTGTTAAAGTTGTATTTGTTATTACAGACCCATCCCAAATCCCCACAACTACAAGTCCTTCTACTTTACCTCCCTTTTTTCATCTACCCATATTTAGTTTTTCCTTTGGGATCTACATGTAATACAAAGTTTTAGAATATAGTTATTAAAATTTCATTTTATTAAAAATATTTCATCTTTTAAAAATGATACATTTATATAAATGTGTTTTGTGTATCTGTCTTATCTGTTGAATTAATACTCTGCATTGCCCTTTTTATGCCATCCTTATGTGTTTGAAATAATCTTAATGTAATTCTGGATTAGGTCTTTAAGTCCTATAATTTACATTTGTGACACTAAATAAAATAGCCATAGTGGTGAGTTCTTATAACTGTATATTTAGGAAGTATCATGTTTGTCTTTTTTTTTTAAATACTTTTAAAAAAATATTTATTTTTTAGTTAGACACAATACCTTTATTTTATTTATTTATCTTATGTGGTACTGAGAATCAAACCCAGGGCCTCGTACATGCTAGGCGAGTGCTCTACCGCTGAGCCACAACTCTAGCCCCTCATGTTTGTCTTTTTCTTTCTTTACTTAATAGTTTATTTTATGGCCCTATAGGTGTTTTCTTTTTTTAGCTAAGAAATATGTTTTAGAGATGGTTCAAATGAATCTTTATTATGCTAGAAAAAGAATTGTTTTCTCCCTTAATTAAGAGCATGCACGTTTTTAGGAACAAAGGAAACTTAAATAGAACTGATATGTACCTTTTTGTATGGCACTTTGGGATATTTACTAAATATGATATTGTGTTTTGTAGAATGGAGATGTATGCATTTCGATACTTCATCCTCCTGTAGATGACCCACAGAGTGGAGAACTGCCCTCTGAAAGGTGGAATCCTACTCAGAATGTGAGGTAAGGTGTTAAATTAAGAAAAATTATTTTTTAATTTTTGTTTTGGTTTTTGCTCAGGCTGACCTTGAACTTTACTTAAGCAATCTTGCCTGAGCATCCCAAGAAGTTACTAGGATTACAGTTACATAGTTACACACCACCTTAATAATGGTCTTTTTTGTGTGTAAAAGTCTCATTTTTCCTTTTTTTGCCTTTAGTCAAATAAGATTACATACTGTTTTTTTAAGCTATGCAAAAAAAATCCTTCCTGTTTGGAGTTGTTTATCTTCATTTAGAACTTTATGTATGCTTCTTTCAAAATGTTTTTATTTACTGAGGAATAATGCATGTGATTTTTATTTCCCTGTGTTCACTGTGGAAGGAATTTTATAAGCATGGATTCTTCCTCTTACATTGTCATAAGTTCTACCTTGCTTCTTTGGACCCCATGACTTTTGTTGTTTCTTTAATATTCTTATTACTTTTTGCAGACAGATCTTAAGACTTTACAGACTCAAAACTGAGTTTATTTATCTGATGCCTTTTATTTATTTTGTTAGTTTTGTGTGTGTGTGTGTGTGTTTCTTTTGATGGTTGGAAGACATATTTCATGTGATTTCTCCTTTGACTACTCATCTCTTGATTATTTATCTAGATTGATATTTCATCATCTTTCGTTTTTGAATAGTAGCTTATGTATAGGGGATGGTCATACTGCTTAAGAAATTTTAAAGCCAGTTACACTGTTGATCCTATTAAATATATTTAAGAAATCACTTAAACAATTAAAAACTAATTTTGTGCTGGTGTAGTATACATGAGGTCCTAGGTTCACACCCCAGCACACCCCCTAATTCTATATTGAGTTATTGCCATTGTCATTAATGTACTGTTGATTAAAAACACTGTAATTTGATGATACTTTTTCTTTGTCTTTCTTTCTTTTGGGTAGGGTAACAGGGATTGAACTCGGGGGCACTTGAGCACTGAGCCACATTCCCACCCTTATTTTGTATTTTATTTAGAGACAGGGTCTCACTGAGTTACTTAGAGCCTCACTTTTGCTGAGGCCTGCTTTGAACTTGCATTCCTTCTGCCTCAGCCTCCTGAGCCACTGGGATTATAGGCATGTGCCACTGCGCCCAGCTGATATTTTTATTTTTTAATAAATGTTGAAAATTCTTTTTCTCTATTTTTGTTTTTTTGGTGTGCTAGAGACCAGACTCAGGGCCTTAGGCTTGCTAGGCAAGCACTCTATCAGTGATGTTGTATACCTTTAGCCTCAGGAAATATGTTAATCAGATAAACATTTGTTCTATGTTAATTCATAGATCCATGTATAATTTATATGGTTCTAGAATGTGGCAAAGAATGGCTTCAATTTTATTTACATATACATGCATACATATTCAAATGTAACAAAGACTAGTACTACTGTATATTAGAAGAGAAGGACTAAGAATTCACAGTGGAGTAATGTTTTAAAATAAAATTTTTAGGACATAAACTAAATATTTCTATTCTAAGATTTTTGGCAAAAAGAATTTATAGTGTTCTAGTCTTTTTTTAAAAAAACTTTATTGAAGTATAATTCACATACCATACAAGTCACCCATTTAAAATCTACAATTTAAAAGTTTTTTAGTATACTCACAGGTTTGTGCTGTTAACACGATCAACATTAGAAAGTTTTTATTACCCTTAAAGGAAACCCATACACTTAACAATTACTGTTCATTACTCCCCAAATCTCCCAGCCCTAGGAAACCACCAGTTGATTTTCTGTGTCTGTGGATTTGCCTATTCTAGACCTTTCATAAGGATGCAAACATGATATGTATTATTTTGTGACTGACCTCTTTCATTTAGCATAAACTTTTCAAGATTCATTCATGCTGTGGTATGTATCAATACTTCAACTCCTTTTTTTTTTTTTTCTAATTTTTTTTAGCTGTAGGTTGACACAATACCTCTATTTTATTTATTTATTTATATGTGGTGCTGAGGATCGAACCCAGGGCCTCACACATGCCTGGCAAGTGCTCTACCACTGAGCCACAGTCCCAGGGGCGCTCCCTCCCACCCCCCTTTTAAATGATACTAAGGATTGAACTCAGGACCTCCTGCATACAGGTATTCAACCACTGAACTGCATCCTTAGCCTGTTTCATTTCTTTTTATGGCATTTATCCCTTTGTATGATTAAATCACACTGTATGATTAAATCACACATATTCATATATGTGGTATGGTTAATACCACATTTTATGCCTCCAGTTGAGGGACATTTGGGTTGTTTCCACTTTTGGGTTATTATAAATGATGTACTATGAAAAGTATGTACACATTTTTGAGTGGTTATCTATTTTCATTTACTTGGATATTTACCTAGGAGTGGAACTGCTGGGTCAGTTGGTAACTGTGTTTAATGTGGGTGTTTTGCTGGGGGTTGAATCCAGGGCAGTGCACATGTTAAGCCACATCCCCTGCCCTCTGTTGAAAGTTTTGAGGAACTTCCCGAGTGTTTTCCAAAGTGACTATAATAGTTTTACATTTCTTTGAGTAGGTGTGTGTACAAAAATATATATATATGGGCTGGGGATGTGGCTGAAGCGGTAGTGCGCTCGCCTGGCATGCGTGCGACCCGGGTTCGATCCTCAGCACCACATACAAACAAAGATGTTGTGTCCGCCGA